GCGTGGTAAGGCACACTAACGTCGGTACCACGCAGGATGCCACGCGGACGATCCGCGTGTCCTACGATTGAACAGTCGAGATTAAATCACGATGAATAGTATATATTCATTTTTTCATTATGCATGATCAGACAAACGAGATTGATCGTGATGGACGACCCAGATTAATGTGAGATTGATATAAATACTCACATCATACAAGAACTAAACCTAGTCGCTGGTCCCCACTGGAGAAGCAAAACCAGATGCCAGAGGAAAAGGCCAACCACCGACTACCGCTGCAACGGAGTCACCGCTAACTGCCAAAAAATGTAAAAATATTTCATACCCGCTTGAAAATCAATTTTGAGCACGCCTGTGGCCAAATCAGAGCAAAATAGACGGCAGGTGAGTTAAAAATTACGGGTAAAATCTGGCAGAGCCACCGTGGTCAAAACCCAAAAACCCCTCTAATAAGCCCATTCTCGATTTTCGTTTTACGTGATTTTTCAATCATTGTGTTCACCGTCTTTTTCTGTGTAGATTAGTCGAAGAAAAAACCTCAACCGCAAAGGAGGACTATCGAAGCTGCCGCATCTGAAGGCCCCCTCCGCTAGTAGGTTTGGTTTTTTATGATTTTTCGACCAATCGAGACCCCCAACATATTTTTATGCAGGGATACAGTCAAAAATTGGTCAAAATCGGGTAGGCTGAAGCGAACTGCCGTCATATACCGCATAGCGACGTTGTCGTGTCGAAACATTAAAAATTAGTCAGAATGAGTTTTGGACATCAATTTTAAATTTCTGGGGTATTTTTAGGTATGTGACGAGTTTTTTGGATTTCGCATAAAAAATTTAGGAAATCCGGTACCCGTTAGGAAGCGTAGTAAGCAACACGACGTCTTAAAACACTGATCTGGGTAAATATCCCTCAGCTTATTATCCGTTATGGTAAATTGAGGCTTAATGTTACATAATATTGTATTTTCGTGAAAAATTAGAAAATATTATAAATAATTATAAGTTACTAGTAGAGCCGGAACCCATTGGTGCACATTTATCCTTATTCTCAGTTTATTTAAATTTATTGCATAAATTGCTTACCATTACATTATGCATGCTTACATTGACAGTTGTTATAGTCTTCTCGATTATCTAGGTTAATTGGTTCCTTGCTGCATAATTTATCTTGTTATCTGATTACTCGGTTATTAATTGTGATAAGTTTAATCGTTTGCTTAAATGTCGTTTTATTAATCTGTGAATAAAATTATATATTAATATTGCGTAGTTGATTGTTACGTTGATGGAAATCTATATGTAAAAGACTTATTGGATACTGAAAAAAAGCAAATGGACCCGGTACATATGGAACTCTACCGTGAACGTTACCTCAGTCGGATGGGGTTGAAAAATTCCTTACCAGTAAGGTTTGGGAGGTATGGTTCACCCTCATACCAAACGGGGTATCGATGTGGTAGAATATCTGGTGTCTACTACCGAGAGTATGGAGACGACCGATTAATTGTTTAATTGAATATTAGATTCACGAGTAGGGGGACATCCATATGAACCCTTAGGGGTATCGGTAAACAGATAAAAATAAAAAGTGATCATTTTTTGTTATCTTATATATGAAAATAAAAAGTGTATGAATATGGATATTCATGGGTTATTTTTAGAAAAACTCGTTATGTAAATACGTAATAAATAGTTTTTTATATTAAATAAATTTACATTAAATTAAGAGCTCCATTAGTCGTTTATTTTTATTTTTATCAGTCTTCAATTTTTCCTATACGTGATTAGTGTGATATTATTATTAGGTTAGTGTATCTCACAATTTCATTAATTATTTCATATAAAAAGTATAAGGATCCAGATTTTGATTAACAAGAGAGTTGTAAGTAATTTACTACCCGGATTCTTTTCAAATGTTAGTGAATGTCGTATTACGATATTTATTTATTAATTTTCTTTAATTACCGTATGTCTTTTATGAGTGACACTCCCACATTTATATTTGACATTATAAATTATTGTGTAAAAAATGTAAATCTTGATTTTATCAATTGCTTTCGCATTTAATTTATAAATTTATTTTTATTTAAGTTATGATCATTTACAAAATGTTAATAATTTTGTGTATAATTAAAAAAAATTAAAGAATCAAATTAATTATCACAAAAAAATTATAAAAATTAAAATATAAATTAGATTCGTCTATAACACTTGTTTGAATTGTAGTAAATAATAGGATTTTAATGTATGGTACTCAACGAGTGTGAGAAAATTATGTTTGTTTTAACTTCAAATGGTAACAAACAGTATATGACTGGTAATATACTTCTTATGTTACTAAATAAGTACGAGTAAATTAATAATTTAACTGAAAATATAGTTATATTATCCTATTCTTCAAATAAAAATATATTATATATTATTAACATATATTAATATATAATTATTTAAATATAATTTTTTTTATCATTCTTATTTAATTATTGTTATTAATATACATTAATTAAAAATCACTAAAAATTTATGAAGGTTTATGTATACTACTGTAAAATACATACAAACAACCCCCTGCTGTTACGACAATGGCGGATTGGCGGGAGCGTGTCATGGAGAGCCTGAGAAAAGCTTGTTGGTGAAGTTAAGTCTCTTTCTGTTTTATCCTTTGTGAAGACTGTCACTAGCACTTCAACCCATTTTCCTGCTTTTAACAAGGACTGGTACGGAGAGGTAAGCTTCCACCCACCAGCTTCGTATCAATTCTGGAATGCAGAAACATTATCAATACACGCCCAGACATCAAATAGCTGTAGGATCTTGTTTATCATGGCCCGAACTGGTGAATTCACGAGAAACGATAATCAAAAAAACTTTTTTGCTGGATTAATATGATGGGTCGTTTGGGATATCGATCGTGCACAAGGTGTTTGATAAATTGTCTTAAAGAATACTATCACGTATCATTTCTTCTTCTTGAAACTTGCCTTATGCTAGTACGGTGTTATGATTAAGCTTTTCACATCCGGATCTGCCTCATCTTCTACTTAAAATACTATAAAATATTTTGACTTGTCTCTGGCATTGTGCATGCTGATCCGATGAAATTCAGTGGCTTTCTTTCAGATAAGATTTAGATGCTCTAGTCGGTGGTGGGTTGATGGAGAGCTCTGAGATTAAATCTGGGACGTTGGTTACCTTACAAGACTTACACCCATCTTCTCCATTCTTTCAGGATGGTGCTTCATTTAGAGTGACTGGGAAGTAAGACTGCCTTCCTTATGTATATTTTGTTCGTACTGTCGTCATTTATTTAAGCAAGTTTCAACTTTCCTAAGAAAAGTACAAAATCTTGGCGACTTTTACGTTTGTTTCATTTTCAGGCGTTTGGCTAGTGGTAATGTGGTAGGTCTAGAGGTAGGCTGCCGTGTATTTGCTAGTAGGAATGCGAATTAATGTGTATTTATGGACTGTGGTAATGGTCCTGGTGAAGTTGCATAGTTGTGAAAGGTACAATATGACATGGAAGAAATGGTCAGAGTTGTAAAACCTGTGGTGGAGATTTGGTGTCTTATCAATGTTGATGTCCACTGCAGTGGAGGTGTTGAGATTTTTTTTTGTGCTGGAGTAGGAAATGCAGAGTTACGATGGGGCAGATGGTATGAGGGAAGGGTGCAACTATTGTTATATGTCGCTCATAGTTCAGTTTAAAGGAGCTAAGTATAAGTACAGTGCACCAAAAATTCTGGTGAGCTGTATAATTGTAGAGTGGTAGGTTAGTGGGGGTGTTGATGATGATGTCCACAAACGTGGTTGTGGGTAGTTATGGTGGCTGGAAATGCTAAATAGCAATCGGTATTATGGTGAAAATTTTGTGTTGGTGTTGGTGATAGGCTGACAGAATTCCTTTTGTGAGGGTCATATATTTTTTTTCACTGGAAGAAAAGAAACAAATCTTAAAGTCTTGACTCACAAGTGGATGAGATTTGTGAACTTAGGTAATCTGAGAATTTCAAGACTAAATGAGAATGGAGATGACTCAACTACATATCAACAGAAGTTAACTTTCCCAGATTCCATCCTTGTTAATTTGTGGTCTAAAGCTTTTGTTTTACTCTAGAGGCTATATTGCTTATGGTTGCGTATAACGTAAACATGTGGCCACATCTAAAACTGTGGGTGTCATCAAACCTGTAAAAACTCAATAATGTCACATTTTGAGTGCGGAAGTATTTCATCAGTGCCAACAATTCTGAGTTACACCATTTTTCAGTGCCACAGTAATGGTTTAGATGCCGAAGAATCACCATTATAAACAAATCATCAGCTTTTACTAGTTTCGTAGTACTCTTTATCTAACATGCATTGCCCGTGGTGGTATCATGAATTACTGCTTTCGTAATACACAATTTCTTGTTTCTTCCTAGGCTAGAAGAATATTCTGTGGAGACAGCCATAGCTGTAATTGCTGATGGAGATGCTAACCTCAAGATTGACACCAAGAACTTAAGGGACCTTAGTTTTCGGATCGGCTCAATCTATCAATTCATTGGCGAACTCCATATTCAAGCTGACAACGAGAACGAGGCAAGTCCCCGATATATCCAGCCAAATTTTTTTAATTCTTCCTCCCTCTCATCCCCCATCCCCGAGTTAACGACGGGTGTCTGTTTCAGGCAATCTTGCAGGCTCGAGTGGGTAGGAATGTCGATGGGATTGACCTAAATCTCTATTATCAAACCCTTCAGCTGCTAAGACAGTTCCAAGCGGAGTGCATTAAGAAACAGGAACTTGATGCAGTTCAGGCTATGAATGAAGACATTGCCGGGTGATATTCAGGCAAATGCTACAACATGGCGGCTCCATTAATATACAGTAGAAATATCATTTGGGTATATATATATTTCTTCTGACATAAAAACCCAAACAGAAGTTTATTTCTTTCGGTTGGATTGGATAATGTCATATGGGCTTGACTGGAGCATGAGTGGGCAGATCCCGAGAATTGCACTGGCTGGGTTGCCTTCTTCTTTTGGATTGAGCCTTGGCTCCACGGGCTGGGCTAACTTTTGACAGTATACGAGTTTAGAGAGCATTAGAAAAACGATTTTCCATCTTAATTCTCACTAATTATATTTAATAATTAAAAAATCCCTGAATTTAAGAGTTAATATATTATTAAATTACATTTAATTAAAAAGTAACACTGATTTTACACTAATGATGGAGATTGGACAATGCTCACCCCCGGATTACACCGCATGCTCTGTACTACACCAATGAAAAATAGAAGATTAGAAGAAAAGTAATCCAGCATTATCAAGTAATGATTGTGGATTAAAAGTGATCGCCTTTTCCTAATTAAGCCACTAATTACCCAATTAAATTACGAACCCTATATTTCTTATCACACTAAATACGGATTTAACTTCACCGTGTCGCTTTCTAGTGCACCGGCCAACTTTTTGATTGCCAGTATTGATTACGTGGCTGCTTCTGATTGGCCCAAATTTACGCTGGTAGTGGATTGGCGTTGCAGCTGATTTTTGGGCCCCACCTTCCGGTGTCCCCTCCGCCCCCTCTGGATTCTTCGCACCGACTTCATCATGTGGTCTCGCAGTGGGTAGGTTACTTGTTCCGTGTGTCACATGTTCTTACACTGTACCATCACCAATGTTACAAGAAATTTAAAAATAAATTATATATATATGTATATATAGATTTTAATTTTATTTATATGATTTTATACATAACTGTAATTAAATTCATTAATTAAAAAAATCTAAATTTTTGAATTCTTATTTTTTTTTAAAAAATAATGTGGTGATATATAGATTTTAATTTTATTTATATGATTTTATACATAACTGTAATTAAATGTACTACTTTATATATGTCACATTAAAGACAAACTTTGATAATTAAGGTTTATGAGACCATAGGGTATTATTAAAATCAAAATATTTGGAACTTAGAAATATAATTTCAATATAGATCCAACCTAACTTAAAAAGTGAAAATCACATATTGGGAGGTGGACTTAAAGCTATGATATCCAAAGGCAATTATTTTGTATAATAGACATGTATAAATATACATAATAAGTCAAAATTAAAAAAAAATTAAATTATAAAGAACCCAATTGAAATTTTTCTTAAAAATTAATTTCGTAAATTTTGATTGTTAGTATATTTTTATTACACGGGCGTAATAAAAAAAAAAAGATATTATGTAATACTATATTTTTTCATAAATAAATTTTTTTGAACTTTTTAATTTCGTGTAAATTTAGGTTTAGTACTTATTTTTTTTCGGTTAATTTTATTTTTATTTTTTTTTAAAAATAACATTTAGGTTAGATCTAATGAAAGAGAAATATATATATATATATATATTTAATGTGGGGAATTCTTAAACATAATAATAAAATTATGTATTAGGAAACAAGGCATGACTTTTTAAAATTAATATTGCGTATATTCATTGGTAAAAGATTTGTGCGATTTTGAAAAGAAAATTCAATTCAAATCAAGATCGTACCAAATTTTATTAAAAGATTTTAAATGCAAATGAAATTTGATGGGCCTATCGTCACGAGAGTCGTGGGATGGGTTCGATTTTAGTCAAATTGTATGACTATCTACACCCGAGTGGAATAACCCTCTCTATATTATCAACACAAAATTATATCACATTCAAAATATTTATAAATACCTCAAATTAATCCATATATATTATATCTTTCACTAAATTTTTAACATTATAATTATTTTAATTAAAAAATTTAATCATTATATAACCTATATTCATTTAAAAACATAATAAGTTTGCTGAAACTTAACTTATATTGATTATTATAAGATCACCAACACATTAGTTAATTATTAAATTAATTATTACGAATAAATTTTTATAAATCTATAATTATATAACATTCAAAAAATTTCATAATAATTCAAATTATTTTGACGACTCTAATTACAAAAATTTAACTGTCACTTAATATTTATTCGTCAAAAAATATGATAAATTAATTAAAATATAATTTAATTGTATTATTATAATAATATATATTATTTTTATCTTTTACTGATAATAATAATAATATATTATTATTATTATTTTATTATTATCACTAAAAAACATGTTATGGAGAAGATATTTAAAAAAGGCGTACATGAGGCCGGAGCTTGATTGGACCCTGCGGGACCCACAAGAAGATGGGAGTTGGGAGTCTTGGAGTCGTTGATTGGTGCGGAGGTCCAAATCAGACCTCGTGATGTGAAACTGTAAAAAAGGAGTGGATAAGCGTCAAGGGTCCATCATAATGGAGGTGGGTGTGGGTCCACCTGATTCTTTCAAAGCCTTCAAAATATTTTGGAGGAGATGGGAAACTAAACACCTGTCCATTTATTTTTTAATAAAATAATTAACATATATATATATTATCTAATAAAAATTAATAAATAATATTTAAATTAAATTTTGTTGTCTTTTGAGTGATTCTTTTGTGGATATTGCATTAAAATTGTAAACATTAATTAATAAATTTTATGTTGTAAAATTTAATTAATATTAAAAATTAAAATTAAAATTAATTAAATAATAAAAAGAAAAATGTGAAGCGGCAACAATAAAAATGAGAAATATAAGAACGACAACAATAAATATGAAAAACGTGAACTATCAACAATAAAGAATTGAAAGAAAAATGATAATTTTTCTACTTATATAAATAATTTTATGTAAGGACCCGAAACTTAAATATAAACTATATCATAAATTAAATACGGAAACGTATAATACTGTTTATAGTTTACATTCATTACATATAAATTAACGTGACCAATAGGGTTACAGAAATATTATTTTTACAGCGATTCATAAAAAAAAAAAACAAAACGTAATAACGTATGAAAATAGTATATAAGTGTTGTAGGGAGGTTAATTTATACTGTCTCTTGATAGGATCCGGAAAAATACCTACTCACAGTCCTCTTGCTGATCAGAATTTGAATATTTATCTTTTTGATATGAAATGATTAATAGAGAGAGGAAGTAAACTATACTAAACTAATAAAAATAAAAAATAATTTTAAGTAAAAGAGAAAATACAGATAAATACGAATAAAATAAAAAAAATACTTACGGCGTGAGTTAAAAAAAATAAAATAAGAATTATTACGTTTAACAAGTTAATGCATAACGAATTTGAGATATGAGATTTTTATTTTGTGAATATCGTAAAGCTTATGTTATTTATATCAATAAAATATATTCTTATTTTAATTAAAGAATAACATAAAATTGGAATTTATATTTATTAGAAATGATATAATTACCTTTTAGTGAAAATTCAATGTAGAATATTTCCTTATGAGAAATTACAATTAAAAAGGCACGTGCGGAAATAGGAAGAAAGTGAAATATGATGAGTGAAATCTAAGAAATATCTTTACACAATATGTGGTGTATATATTATGCAAATATTTTAATGAAATAATATATACCTAACTTTGTAAACTATGGAGTAATTATTAAATTTTAATTTTATAATTAAAATTTAGGTTTTATTTTTTTTAATAAAAAAATAATACCCATTTTAAAAATAAATTTCCTAGTCCAAACTTCTATATATATATATCGATATAATTATATATACAAAAAAAAAAACTATATAATATACATTGGAATTCATATCAATCGGGCACCATGGGATTTGGTATGAGAAATTGATAAAGCTTGATAGATTTATGTCTCAAAAAAGGAAACTCCATTTAATGAGGGTTAATTTCGGTTTCCTATTTTTTTCTGGTAATACAAAAAAGGAAACCAACGTGAAATGTTAAACTGGTGCCATTAAATCAACGTACAGCTGTAATAATATAAGCCTCAAATCTTTAAGTCCTTACCAAACACGTCCTAAATTCAACCTCATCAATGTACAAAACATGTCATATTTTGCATTTTATATTCATTAATACAAAATTTATTTTAGATATAGATATAGATATACATATACATATACATATATATATTTAATGCTCTTAATTCGTAAATTTTGACATATAATTTAATTTAAAATTTATGTAATGTAAAATATGCATGAATTTAAAATTTATAAATATTTTAGATAATTACAAAATATTATTCTATTTATTATTTATTATTTTTATTAAGCCACGTAAAAATTGTGTATAGAACCGAAAATAATAATGAATGTTTATTATATATATATATAAGTATATATAAAATAATATAGTTATATATGTGTATATAAATACCATATTGTATTGTTATTCGTACTTGTTTCCAAAAAACATGTGGAAAGATATATTACAATAATAGATAGACCTAGCATACGATGATGCAAACACAATAAACTATACAATATATATATGTATATGTATACATATACTAAATGGATTAATTTATAAAATCACGTCATGGGTTCTTTGGCTTATTCGATTTCTTGTGATTGGGTATACATACATACATATACACATATATATATATATATATTCGGTTGCCATCTAAAATTTGGCTTAGTTGATTTCTTATTATTGGGTTAGCTAATAATCCACACCCATTTAAAATTATTATATTTTTATTTCATATAAACATATAATCACATATGATATATATGTATATAAGTACATATAATGTATGGAGTTACCATTTGCGATTGCCAAACACTTATCTATATATATGTATTGTATATTACACGTTTTAGGTTAATGGGTATATATATAGTATATATATATATATACACCCAATTAAAGGATACGATTATTAAAACCTAAAAATAAATGAATTAATTCGGTCCATATACATATATAATATATATATACATAGGAGATTATTTATAATTATTTAAAAAAAAAAAAAAGAAAATAGGAGACAAAATCAAACATCAATTTGTACAGCTAAAATTGTCAATCATTTAAAATTTCAACGGTCAGAAATTGTCAGCTACATATATATGATTATATAGTATGTATGATTATATCATATGTATGATTGAAAAATTTCAATAATTGCACTCCATGAACTTGATGCAATAACAAGGATACATCATAAACATGTACTTACAATACGTGTATGCACACGTACGTACATGTATATGTATATGTTTCATACATTTAATAACATACGTGTAGATTTTTACTCATTTAATTTTACTATAGTAAAAACTAAATTTAAAATTTACGTTGAAAAAGTGAATGGCCTTTCTGTGTTCTTGAAGTAATATGTGTATATATATATATATATATATATATATATTTATATAACACACACACACACACACACATATATATATGTATATTTCGTAGACAAAAAGAGGTAGCTTATCTCTTAATAAAGCTAAATAATATCCAATGATGTTAAGAGAGGTAAATAGTTTAAATAGTCATGTCACATGTATTATAATATATGAAATTTTAATGTAACGTTTGTGGGTGTTTATATATATATATATGTATATGCAAATTTTAGAACAATATGATAAAAATTAAGGGTTTAATCCCCCTAAAAATGGGTGTATCATTATATACAAACAAATTGAATATTTCTTCATCTCTATAACATAATTTGTTGCATATAGCATGTCTTAAGTAATATTTTTTTGAATAACATGCATATATGTATATATATATATGTGTGTGTGTGTGTGTATATATATATAGATATACACCTCCAAAACTTGACCCTTGACTCAACAATGGGGTCACCACCATCAAATCAAATCCATAAAGTCTCAATTTTGCAAATCATAAATGCCATTATTAATGCATGGCAAGAATTAGAATGTTGCCCAAGTAAATTTAACACCTTGGTTTGAATTGTCATATATATATATATATAATATACGTATATATAATTTTATATATATATATAATATGTATATATAATTTTAAAGTTTCTGATTTTTTTTTTTAGTATTAATATTACGAATTTGTCTTTCATTGTTTAATGAATAAAATTTAAATGAGTTTATATATAAAATAATTATTAAATTAAACCAAAACACATAAATTAATTTTATATTATAATATTTTAAAAATAAATATAGTTTATGTTAATTTAATTACTGGTAATAGCTTGTAGTTACAATGACTTTTGTAGTGGAGGATTGTTCTGATTGCCCAATATATACAAGAATAAAAACCAGAGCTTTTTGCATGTATATACATATATATATATATATATATATATATGTACAGACGCATATATCTATCCTCCATCTTACAAGAGGAACAGAGGAGGCTGCAGCACTATCTTTGTTTTCTTCTCCTTCCTTTCTTATCATCTGATCTGATAAAAAGGAGGAAAATCAAACCCACCACACAACAAAATTCCATTTTTCTTCTTTTTTTTTTTTCTGTTTTGTTTTGTTTTCTTTCACTTAAATGGATTGCAGACCATCGCCGGTGATCTCCTTCTCTAGTTTTTTCAGCTCATTTTCAGGTGGGTATTACGTCAGTTCCCGGCACGTGATGTCAGCTTCCCACTGCACGTATCAGCTTCCTGCGTTTCTCTGATTATACACGCTATTACTCGACCAGAAATTTACCTGAAAACTTAAAAAGGTTTCTACTTTTTGCTCACCTTTTAATTTTTTTTTTTTAATGCACAGCTCGTCTGTTTGGTTAATGGAGAGTCTACGCAAAGGAGGCTTTCAGTTTTTTCCTTTTGCAGGTTTTCTGTTTTTTTTTTTCTTTTCCTTATCGGGGGATCTTTTTAAATTTTTTCCTTCTGGGGTTCATTTTGGGGTTTGTTTTTTTTGTCTGGTTTGAAATAATTCGCAGAACCTGTTTGGTCGCTGAGAAAATAATAGAGGAGAAAAGACGAGAAAATATCATTTCACTCATTTCTTCTTTTTGGAGTTTACTCTTTAAGATTTCAATTTATGTATGATGAATAAATACTAGGGAGCGTGTCTCGTTCAGTTAATATAATAAACCAACAAAAATTCTATCTTTCGCTGTTTAATTGCTTTTTCTCTCTTTCTTTCATTTTTATCAGCTAAAAAACAGAGCATGATCTTGTTCTGGGATTACTGCATATATAGGAAGATTAGAAAATAAACGAAGAATAGTCTGTATGAATTTGAGAACGATTCCGATCATTTGATTGCAGTCCGTTTCATATTTCGAGTAATAACTCTTGTTTCTGTTTAGTTTTCTTTTCATTTTCTGGGCAAACAAGCAAAAGGGTCATCCCCCTTTCAGTTTCTGAGTAACTGGAACAGAGGAGAAAAGAGAAAAAAGTTTCGGATTCTACCTGTGTTACCTGGTTTGATTCATTCCCAGATGTGCAAAATTTCAGCTCTACAAACCGTGTTAAGCCCAGTTGTTGTAGTAGGTCAAGTTAGTTGGGTTTTTCTCTGTCATTTTCTTTTAAAAAATTATTCTAACCCTGTTACCGAACTTTTTCTCGAGAATCAAACAGACAATTCTGGGAAACAGCGTGAAAATGGTTTTGTTTATTTTATCTTCTCACCTATTCTACATGATCGTAGATCTGATATTGGAATTCCATGTCATTCTGAATATGGATATTCCCCGTGATGTCTTTCAGATTCAAATTTTTCTCTTTGTTTTTTTTGTTTTTTTTACTGTTATTAAATTCTTAGGATTCTACCTTTCTGACTCAGATAAAATGTCGTTTTTCCCTCTTAACAGTATCACTACCATACCGTTTGTTTCTCAGGAAAAAAAGCAAGAAAATTTGTAAATAATAGACCCACTTGCTTCTTTGACAACTTCATAATGTTTTCTGCTTCTTGTCATCTTTTCCCCATATGGAAACATATTCTGATTATTTATAAGTTTTTCAGTTTTCAGATTTTGAACTTGCAAAAGGAAAAAAGCTTAAACCTTTACTTGAGTTTTTGAAACAATGGGGCACTTGTCTTCCGTGTTCAATGGATTGGCAAGGTCTTTTTCGATAAGAAAATCGAAAAGTAATAATGGGAATGGAGATGGAAGGGAAGCTGTGGAAGCCATGGCTAAAGAAGCCAAGAAGAACGAGTTGATTTTGCGATCATCTGGCTGCGTCAACGTGGATGGTTCTAACAATTTTGCCTCAATTTTCTCCAAGCAAGGCAACAAAGGAGCCAACCAGGATTGTGCCATTGTGTGGGAGGTATATATATATGTGTGTATATATGTGGATAGAGCAAATATAACAGTAGGTAATATGGTTGATTAGAATGTAGTGAAAATGAACATTGGTTTCGGATTTAGACTGAGAATGTTTTTCTTTGTGTGAGTAGGAATTCGGATGTCAAGAAGACATGATTTTCTGTGGAATTTTCGACGGCCATGGTCCGTGGGGTCATTTTGTGGCAAAAAAAGTCAGGGAATCGATGCCTTCGTTTTTGCTATGTAGTTGGCAAGAAAGTGTTTCTCAACGTTGGCTTGATCCGGATATTGATTTGGAATCAGATAAGAAGCATCAGAGGTTTAATATATGGAAACATTCGTATTTAAAAACGTGTGCTCTCGTCGATCAAGAACTCGAGCAGTATCGAAAAATTGATTCGTTTTACAGCGGAACAACTGCCTTGACAATAGTCAGACAGGTACTTGGAACTTCTTCATTTGAAAACCAGAAGGTATTGATGACTCGGAGCTTATATTACACAATTAACTTTGTATGGTAATCCTAATTTCGGGTTTGGTTTGGCAGGGTGAGCTGATCTACATAGCGAATGTTGGTGACTCTCGTGCTGTTTTAGCCACCACTTCGGAAGATGGAATGCTGGAATCAGTGCAGCTGACAGTAGATTTGAAGCCAAATTTACCTGGTTAGTATACTGTTTTGTTTCTGTAACGAAAACCAAAGTGGTTATATATTATGTTGTTTTAGCAGAGGAGGCAGAGAGGATAATCGAGTGTAGAGGACGAGTTTTCTGCTTAGAAGACGAGCCAGGCGTTCACAGGTTGTGGCTGCCTGACGAGGAGTCGCCGGGACTGGCAATGTCTAGAGCTTTTGGTGATTATTGCGTAAAAGGTTACGGACTTATCTCCGAGCCACTAGTTACGCAAAGGCACATAACTAGCAGAGATCAATTCGTCGTGTTGGCAACTGATGGGGTAGGCCGTCACTTTTTACAATAAACCAAAGGCAAAATTGCCAATTGCCGAAAGAGATATGAAATTAGTTTGATTGGTTTTGGCTTGTAGGTTTGGGATGTCGTTTCGAATCAAGAAGCAATAGAGATGGTATCTTCGACTCCGGACAGGGCAAGGTCTGCGAAATGTTTGGTTGAGCACGCAGTCCGGGCATGGAAACGGAAGAGACGGGGAATTGCCATGGATGATATCTCAGCCGTTTGCCTCTTCTTTCACCCTTCCCCTGTATCCCAACAAGTTCATCCCATTACGAGTCCTAAATAGCCAGTACGCTGATGTAAAACGAGGCAAAAGTTGACTGACTGCCTCTCTTGTTTATTGTAATTCTCATTCCGAGTAGGTCGCGACGTAAGGCACTTCACACTATCTAGTGCTGAAGGCATGAAACTAGTCGATAAGGAATTTGAGCAGGTTTGCTGTTGTCAAGGCAACTGGTTCAAGCTGGGTCCGGTTCAGTTCCATACAATTGGGTAGGCTTTAGGTTTGTTGAGAGGGAAACAGCTCGAAATCCCGTGAACCACCCACCCATCAAGCAGGACTTGGAAGGGCTGATCCAGCAAATTACTCCATTCAAGCAGGAGTTCAATGTATTAATTATTAATACATAATTAATAATTATGTATTGTTATATCATCAGCTGATTAAATTAATAAGGGTCTTTAAAAATAGTTATAAACCATAAATAAGCTCCCACCCAAATTATTGTTCTAATTTCCTTAATTAAATTAACTAAAACCCAAGACCTTACGGAGAACTTACAAAAATCAATTGACTTTTTTGAACAAGACATTACATAATTTTGTTAATTCATGTCAATTGTCAACCACTTTCAAATCTCTGGCTTAGAATTGAGGTCAACCCATCTCCTAATCCATGCGGAAACAATTTTTTCTTTGAAGGAATAGTTGATTCGTTAATATCGCAACATCATTCTTACGAAAAAAAAAAATGTTACACGCTAAGTTAAATCCGACGCTTACGATATTAATTTATAAATACTAGTTATTCGATGCACGCATACGTATCGTTATTTAAACAACATATTCTTTTATAATTATAATTTACCAATTAAAATCTTAATACTTCAAATCAATTATGTAACTTTAAATTATCACAAAACTATATTTTTCGTTTACTTTGAAAGAAAAGAAAAAGGTGAGAGACAAATTAATTTGACAAGGTGGTGGAAGACAGAGATGTGGAATGTACCACGTACACCGGGTTCGTGATGTACAATCTGATTTTTGCGTATTATCACATGAACAAGCACATGCGAGGAGGGTGATAAGGGAGACCGTGGAAAAAGTGCAGAGCAAAATGGCAAATTCAATGGTTATTGTCAAATCCCACATCTCGATGGAAGAGAAAAAGAGGAACATTTTAAAGGCGAAAAAGAGAAAAAGCTAACCCGTCTTGTCAAAGGGTTTGAAGGTGACTCGTCGGTGATGGCCCGGAGCCCGAGCACTGATACGTTAGGCCTGCTGCATTCCCGCTTGACAAGTTATTTAACCACAACTGGGTATGGACTTTGGAGAGGCATTACGCAAGAACTCAACTCTAAATTTTTCGTTTCTTTTTGTCTTACAATAAACAATTACATAAATCTGGTCGTATATTTTTTTGCCTATTTACATTAGTTTTCTATAAATTCAATGGAATACTTGGGGGAGTACATAGAACTCACCCTCATTGAACATTGGTCTTAAATCTTCTTGGCACATGAAATTTAAAGGGAAAGAAACGAGATGTCCCCTGATAGATTTCAACCTCTCCATTGGGTCCATTGTCTTACTTTCACCATTCTCGCAGAACTCTACTCTCTCTGGAGCTATAGTAAGATCAATGGTTGTGTATCCGAGTTTCTCTTTCCAATGCGATGTGCTTTGTCTTAGAGCAGCTCTGCAATTGATGAATATATATATATATATACACATTTATGTCAAATGAGAGGAAAAGATTGTTGTGCGAGGAAGAAAGGAACATATAGTCATGGCATGAGTGTACCTTGAGTGAATGAGTTCATTGGGTATGCAACCAAATACATCTTGGTAAACCTTGGTATTCGCCTGTAAGAATATTATAGAATTCTTTTAGGAGGAACATGAAAGAGAATAAACATAATAGAACATAAAACTAAACACAGACTGACTTTTATGACATGGGGAGACACATAACCACATGATTTTTGAAGCACTGAAGCCTCGAATTTATGGTGCAAGCACACAAATAACCACATTAATATTCGAAGTATGTTGAACTCTTAAGTTTCAGGATTTCAGCACTCGTTAAGCCCAAACGGGCTTGTATGTGAGGGGTGTTAATATACTAATAATATCATGAACGATTTTATATCAATTTAAATTTTCTGTAAAATTAGTCACATCTATTTTTTAACAACAAACACAAAAAGGCAAGACTTTTTGTACTCAACATAAGCTTCTCACCTGGGCAGCTGCTAACCATAAGTCCTTATAGGTGCTATCTCTTACAGGATCAATGATCCGATTAATCTGAAGGAAAGATGAGAATTTATGGTATCACTGGTTTTTTTAAGATAGCATGAATGATATTGAAAAATGATGCAAAAAGATTCTAAAGATTAACAAGCCAACATTACTAACATCTCCTGGTTGAAGACCAAGATGCTCCGACCACAGAGAGCTCCGGAGACTGTAAGCAAATTTTCCAGCTTTCCAAGGCTTTCCGTTCATGGATGATTCAGTGAATTCCTTGTCTTCAATTACAACACCAATCTGAAAGAGCAGTATTGGAGTGTATTAAATATTAATCCTTGTACCTTCTTTTTTTATATTTTATCTTCACAAGACAGACGCTACAAAATCAACCTTTCATAAGGAGACAAACTTCATCCAGAAGAGTTGATTGGACGGAAATGCTTAGCTAATATGCATGCCTTCAAAGTTGTTTCAAACACGACGGAAAGCACAGATACAAATGAAGGTGTATGTATTTCAAAGTTTAGCTGAAATTAATACCTCAGAATCTCTTGAACCAAGCAAGCTCCTGTCATTTATATTAGATGATCCAATCAAGGTGACACGATCATCCACGATCATCAATTTGCTATGCACATAAACCTATGTGAACACGGATGATGTGCATTAGTAAATATATTATGTTTTTTGTATCTGCAGAACAGCAACACTGGAGTTCTATCTAGAAGTATCCAAGGTGTACTCTATTATCAGAAGAAGATATTGAAAATTTTCCACCTAAAGTAGCGTCAATTACATTTCACAATTGTTCTTTGCTGTTTTAGCACTTCGTAAGTTAAGGAAGCCTTCACTTTAGGAAAGGCCAAACACAAATCAAGATGGTATATACCTGACTTGTGGCAACAGGACCGCCATCAAAAAGTCTACCATATGATCTCAAACCATAAAAAGAGATGTAATCTTGTGATTTAGAGCCAAGCAGAGCATTGAGATTATGCAGGATAGAGGTTTTTTCTCTAGATATTGTCCGATACTGCCAATGCATAATGGCTCTAACAGTAGCTGCATCGCCATCATCTATTCCCCCCTGTCAACAAACACCGTTGTAAAACTAAGACTAGTTAGTTCCTTTTTTTCTTTTTTCTTTTGAAAAAATTAGAGCACTTAAGAAGAAAAACAATACCTGGAACCCAGGTATGAGTGGTAGGACAACAATGACTCGGAAGCATTCTTGCTCTTTGTGAGCCAGTAAAATACGTTTGTATAATGCTTCCAGGACACGATTCTGTATGATCTCATCTCCTGAATGACCAGATATGAAAAACTGATTCTGGAAGACAAGAACCAAAGCGAGCAGAAATAGATGGTCAGTATAAGGATTCAAAATTTAACTTGAACTTCATTTCATTTTCAAGACTGATTGCGATTACGGTGAATACTACTACATCATTTAAACCTTTGAATTACCTCAATGTAAATAAAATGTTCTGCCTTCTCAATGAGAGAACAGTAAGCATTATGAATGCTTTCTTCAACTTGACTTGTTCCAGCAGACCACTGACTGACACTTCTGATAATCTACATCCATTCAAGAAATAGAAAAAATGAGATGAGCACAGAGAGGAGATGGTGGAATCCTGAATATTATGGAAAATATGCTTATGTGCTACATGTAGAAAACTATTCTGCAGAGCACTAAACAGATAGAATCATGACAGCATAGGCCCGCACTTCTTCTATGAGTCCATACTATGTCTGTGTTTGTGTTCCTAGATATAATTTCTATGAAATTGTATAGTTTTTAGGTTTGTATATTCCCTAGCTTTAGCAATGGTGATAGGAGCAGATCAAAGGCTAAGATTTAGTTTTCTCAGTAGTTTTCGGATTGGAAGGCGGAGGATGCACATTTCACACGGAAAATAAAGATGGGATGCCTCATCTTCAAATATACTTTCTGATGGAAGCAATTTCATGGCATTTTGCAAATTCTTAAGACAAGCTTCTAGGTATTCTAACGGCAATGATAAGGAATAGCTAACCTGACAGTGGCATGCAGTGCAAGGTCCAACTTGCCCAGTTTCATGAATGGGATCTCCATCATCTGATGTTCCCCATTCCTCATCAGAAAGTTTCACCCTAGTTTGTGCCCCCACACTCAAAATTGTTTCACTTTGGAGATCCAAGAAATCAATATCATCTGCAAACCTTTTTGTCTGTGTATCTTGGACTAAGGTTTCAGTTTCAGACTTCTGTGAAGAAAATGAAAATTTTCCACAATTTCCAGTTGGCTGATCAATAAGATTATGTTTTGTGCATGTGCCATTTAACTTCTTGGCCCCTGAAGAGTTAACAACTGCACCATCTGCTTCCTGAGGCAGAAGAAATGGGATATCCTGCACTAGTGACTGCTTTGGAAATGCAGTCTGTTCACGCACATCTTTTCCAGCGTCCTCGGTGCTTTTGCTCTCAATGTTGATCTCTCTGCCTCTTCCCATGTAATGAGGTATGACCATGTGATGGCGAGGCATAAGTAGTGGAATAGTTTGTTCGTTTGGAGCTTTATTTCTCTTCATCAAAAGAAAAATAATCCAACTACATCAGAAAGCAAACCTTGTGGAAACAAGAACCACACTACAACCATATAAATGGTAGAAGATCAACCTTCGCATGGTTCCATCGCTGAACAAAGTGCCTCGCAGCATCACGACAGGGTGGGCCCCAAAGAGCACAATGGACGTCATGCCATGGCATACGTGGATATTTATGACGGTCTAGTTCATCTATCATGGTGTCTTCCCAGGAGTTTGGCTCAGATTCTCTGGTCAGACAAAGGTGAATAAAATGAATTAAGAAGTTCATAGAAATCACTGATTCAAAAATTCAAAATGATAACTGTACACAAATTGATTTATAAACAATATTGCAAAATCCATTGTTTTCATATCCTTTGTCATTAATGAAGATTTCTACAGTCAATGGAATTTATGTGCTTGTTCCCCTAGAAATTAGAGCAGTATCTTGGAGGAGTATATGGTTGTCCAAAAATTTCCTACAACGGACATATTACTAGATGAGTGTAGTTCACATTTGTATCCCTTAAAATATGTTCTTCACAGGAGAAATGAGAAAACCTCGGATTATAGTAGTCCTTCCCAGGCCATATATCAGGGGGGCAATCACCAACTTTATGTTCGATTGTATCATACCGTCCAAAGCATAAATCTAGGCCTCCAATAAAGCAAATCTGGTGGTCAACAATAACAAGCTTTTCATGATGTGACCTGTTTATAACGAGAAAGTAGTTGATGAGAGTAGATAAGAAACCAATGCAAAAGTACGGAACAAAAAAACCCAGACATCACATACCATAAGTAAATCCCAGTTGAGAGATGATCAGGATAGCGCAGTACCCTCACATTCTCATGAATTTTAAGGAGTCTATTCTTACTGTATAAACTGTTAATTTTTAGAGCAAGTGCAACTTCCTTGTAGAGAAGAATATAGATCTGCAAGATCAATATATGAAAGTCGATCAAATTTGTAGCATGAATATGAAAGCAAGAATATAGATCATAAGGGAAATAACAAAAGATACAAAAGAAAAGTAAACACTTTGGTTTTGTTCTCCTAGTCGAAGAATGTCTAGGAAACAAGAAGCAAACTAAATCATCTTGTACCAGTTAAATGTAATGATCCTGATGGTCACTCAAAAGAAGAATAAAAGCTTGGCTATGGAAACAAGCAATAATTTAAAACAGTGGCTGGCAATTCGTAGGAGATATTCTAGTGGCCTCGACGTGGGAAGAAAATAAATGAATAATCAGGAGAGGTATAGAGTTTGTTATCCAGAATGATTATTGTTATTTGGAAACAAACCTGCACCCCCTGCTTTGCTTTTTCTTCAAGCAGCTTATCCAAGCGAGAGGAAGAATTGCTTTGAAAAGGGCGTCTTAGATACAACTCCGGGCAAAGCCACCAGCCAGTAATGAAAATCTGTAATCAACATTCTCATTAATTCTTAAAATGTATATGTACAGGCACATATTGAATACATTCAGTCACTAGCATGGAGTAAAATGAACCTCTAACTTTGCGTTCTCTATGGCTGAAGCAATTGCATCAAAAGCTGCTTCCCCATCTATATACCATTGAGCATGAATCCCATCGTCAGTCAGACCCCTTGGAGGAGCAAAGGAACTGAAACGATGAGGACGACACCACCCTTCGAGAGGCCCTAAGCCGGCATCACTGATCGCAGCAATCCATTGTTTAACTTTACCTTTGCTGGAAGTTCTTAACTTAAAGCTCTGATTTCCACAAGATACCTTTTTTGCATATCCAGAGTTAGACTTAAACAAAAGAAGAATAATGAAAATAGTATAGCTGCTCAGATGCAATTAATGAGCGTGGAAGTGATATCAAAATGAAAAGAAAGTTTATCCTATCCATTTAATCCGATGCATATGAATTCTTAAACTTGTCTTCTTCGTTTTCAATTCTCTTACTACCTAATTTTCTTCCAGCAAATACTTTAATTTATACACGTAATATCTACTGCTACTCACATTAATTAATCATTTACAACACATAAATCCCGTTTCATTGTGATTATCTCCTTTAAGGTAAAAGGATATTTCTTTGTCAAACTGTAAAACTTGACAGTTTCATGCTCCTTTGCCTACAACACCATGTGTCACATGGATCTCAGGTTAGTGCAAAGTTAAATTGTGTAGATCTAATCTCCAACCTAGCTGCCTTGTTTACTTCATGACATTGTTTAGAGCATGCAATAATGCAATTTGAGAGAAGAAATGTTTTGCCTCTGGTATGATTGCTGCATGTAGGGCCTGAATAGACCAGATCATCCTCTTCTTCAACAATCTAATCTCATATTATGTAACCAGTACTAGAAAGTTCCTTGAATTTTAGTTCAACGGTATTATAAATATATGAAAGACTGCTAAAAAATCAATAAATCGTTGAAGCAATTTCACTAATCTTGAAGTAGTTGATTTTTGTATAAGAAAGATATACGGAAACATCTTACCTTAAATGCATAATGCAATGGATTACGTTCCTTTATCTGCTCTGCCAAATACACTCGAGATTCTTCTTTTCCATTTGAGGATTGTTGGACATCAAACACAATTATGTCTAAGAGTTTTGTCTCAAAAGGATCTTCCAGTAAGGCAAAGAAACCGGGTTTCAGAACAGCCCAAACCTAAATGCGGTTAAAGTACAGTTGGAGAGAACACAAACAAATAGTAAGCAAACAGTAACCAAGTAACATTTAGAGAGGGTAGGTGTTATTTAAAGGGTCATAAGATAAATCTTTATTTCCGCTTTCGGAATGTCTTATGTGACTCATAAATCTGAATTATCACCGCAAGAATAAACTTTTTGGCAATATGTAATTATGAGGAAAAGAAGCTTCGATTACCTTTATCCACTTGTCACTGCAACAACTGAGCCAACGGCATGGACAACAGCCTATCTCAGTGTCAGTGTTAGAAATTTGAGATAGATGCCCAACCGTGACATAACCTTCCTTCAACTTTGGACCGTACTCCCCCGAAAATGACAATTTTGAGACCTCTAAAAACTTGCAAACCTGCAATTCAAAAATCATATTAAAGAAAGCTGGTTTACGGCGAGTCTCATGACAAGTTTATAGCATGCCTTGTCTCGACCTGACTTTGTAGCCATTTCGTTCTTTATTAGTTTGCTATCTAGACCTGTATATATGGAAGAAACTCTGTGCTGTAGAGGAACATGAGTAAGAAAGTTGAAAGCGCTCAAAGCCTAGCATTTACAATATTAAGAACTTTGTCCTGAGTTTCCATTCTAACCTCTCGAGAATTTACAATGTCCAAGTTTCCCAGGAAGAGATTTAGATAACCTTGCATCTCTGCCTTTGCCCTTCCCCAGACGCTCTGTTTCCCTCCTAGAGATGGGCGGAGAATTGGTAAAGCAGCAACTGATGGAACATATCTAGATAACAGAAACAACTTATAATTAAGACCTGGAACCATAATGGTATAACAGAGGCTTGTCCGGCACAAGGTCCTGTTATATATCGTGAGGCAATCACCTGGTCCTAGTACTTTCTTCATGATGTAGAGGAATAGCCCCATCATCAGGTTCATCCTCATCTTCAACAACTGCTGCGTGATCTATTACTCCAAAGCTTTGAAGCCATTCTTTAACCTTCAATTCGATCAAATATTTCAATGGAAAAATTGAAGGATAAATCATAGCAAACACGGAATAAATTTACAAGTTCATTAAACTAATATCCTCAGTGAGTTGCAATGATTTGCAAAAGCCAACACAAGAACGGAAACTTCAGCTAAAAATGATGAAGACAGCCAAGTCGGATAAAGTCTATAATGAAAATAACATAAAAAGTGTTATAGCAAACCTGCTCTTGCTTCTCATGGAATTCCTCGATGATTGCACGTTTCTTCAAAGCGAAATGTAGATAGAGAACTTGCGAGGCCTTATTCGCTAAGCGCCACTTGAACTGCAGCATATCAACGAAGAATCAAACATGTAACACACACACGCACACATACGTATACATGCACATACAGACGCAGTGTCAGAGAGAGTGCCTGCTTGTATTGCAACTCAAAGGTGTACGAGAGAACCATGGGGCTGATATCCGCGGTGTCGGTTCCGGACACAGATACAACTGTAGCCATCGGCAATTCATCGAAGATCCATCCCTGCGGAGACACACCGGGTGCCGCCGCCGTTGGAGCGTCCGACTTAACGAAGCCATTAACGAGAAGCCTCTCCGTCGACATGAAGTCTGAAGAAATTTGCAGAAGAAGAGAGGGGAAAAAAGTCCCTTAAAAAAACTCTCTCCCTGTCTCTGTCAACGGAGTACCGGCTTTTTGACGTTTAAGTGTACCGGGAAATGGAAGAAAGCAGACTCATTGATCGTGTCACCAGCGGTCGCACAGATATACCCATGAAAGCAACTTGTTTTACCGCGAGAGGGTTTTTTGTTAGCATTCGTGGCATTGTTTGAAGTGAGTAGCACAGAAATTGTATGAAACCCGCTGACGCGGGAGTATAGTATTTTCAAATTCACGTTAACTTATTTTGGTCGCAAGAAATTACTAAACACTCTTTGTCTCCTTAATTAAAATTATTATCGTGTTTAAACGCCTTGTAATTACTTCTAATACAATTAAATTTAGAAGATTAGTATTATACGGATCTAATTGCGTGGAGGGTATTTTGGTAAATACAGTCAGCTACAGGGTCCACGAACTCAGAATCAAATCAACCGCGACAAGAATATCCTTCATTTTGTCCTCTGCTTTAAGGAGAATATGTTGAGGAGCCATATCTGAAGTGCTCGGAATATGCTTGAAGAACCAATCATGGACCAGACAAATTTGAGGACTACATACGAATATCCCCCACAACAAAAAGGAAAAGGGAGGTGGCTGCAAATGAACTTCTAAAACAAAAATTTAAACATAATTAACTAATTAATTATATAATTAACCACTGATTATCGATGAAAACTGCCACCTTTTCATGCACACACATATATATATTTCTAGTTTGTCACTACCATTATCTCTGAGAATTTTGTTATGCTAACCCAAGATCAAATACTGCATGCTATTATGTAATAAATATACAATGTCATCGAATTACTGTAAAATATAGAATGCTTTCCTTGAGAGATTGCACAATGCAAGGCCTAAATCTCTTGTGCCATGCATCGGCATCATCTACCAAACCTACGCTAGCACAAGCATGATTCCAATGCAAAGAAAAACTTGTATTCAACCAAATATAGAGCATGCTTCATTCTTGAAAATCAAGGAAATATCCTTTCCGAATCATTTGGCCAACATTCAACAAGTTCTGGTCGAGCTTAGGCACTAGTAGCACATCAAAAATAGTTTTCGTAACTGATGGAGTTGTCGAGGTTTACATCTCCCTTTCCTTTCACCTCCAAGTACTCTTCATTGCCTATCTTGACTCTTGAAATTTATGACCTGTCCAGCCTAGGAAAGAAACTTTCTTCTGGTGTCATGTGGTGGCTGCAGCCACTATCAAATAGCCATATTTGATTGCTTGAGCTGGTTCGGTAACATTTTCAGCCACTTGAGCCTTTAATTCACCTTTTGCCAAGAATTCCTTCACGTCATCATTTAACATCAAAGACCTCCTTTGTTCAGTAGCTTGCAAGGCATTGACAAGCTCTATCAAAGACGTGGTGGAGAAGTCTTTTGAATCTTCCAGGGAAGAGATTTTTGCTTCAAATTTTTCTCTCAGACTCACCAAAATTTTTTCAAGACTCTTTTGTCTGTGAGTTCCTCCCCATCACCCTTATTTGATTCATAATCTTCATTACTTTGTAAGTGAACTCTTTAACTGTTTTGTCATCATTTATCCTTAACGCTTCAAATTCTCTTCTCAAATTCAGTACCTGCATTTACCTTGCTTTTTCACTCCCCTGGAACTCTTCTTAAATTTTGTACCAAGCTTCCTTTCCGGTCTCATAAGACATGATTCTGATGAAAATAGTTTTAGACACAGCTGAATTGATGAATGAAAGAACCTTGAATTTCTTTGCTATTTCCTCCGCACGATGGTTCATTCGAGTGACTGTTGGTTTGCTCTTAAGGGAGGAGGATCTCTACAACTTCAGCGGCCTCCCGTAGATCCATCCATCCCCTTCAAAAAGCCTTCATTCTAACAGTCTAAAATTAATAGATTTCTGCATTAAAGATGGATGGAGAAACATTTCCTGAATGCCTGAAGCCATGTTCAGCAAGCTATGATTTTGGCGAGTTTTGCAGCAGAAAACTTTCTCTTTCTCAGTCCTTCAAAGAGCTTGAAGCTCTCATACTACTTGTTGGAAACGCAAGTGAAAAAACTAGAAAAACCAGGGGAAAAAACGAGAGAAAAAGAGAGGAAAATGGAGGCTCAAATCCAGATTTTCTATGCAGTATTCAATATCTTAAAGACAAACATATCAAAATAAGATTATTCACTAACACAAGCTTCCTACAACTTAAAAACCAAACAATATAAAACATAAACTATGATAAAACAAAAAACTTCCCTAGTTGACAGCAAAATGTCAACTCTGCAGATGCACTTACCACTGGGTTAGGTTAGTACATGCAGTTTCCCTTCATTGCTGAAATCCACTCACCTCAATGTCACTGCACCGCAGCCATTAAAGAACATCCCGGATTCTAGCAAGAACAACACTTATCCAGCTTCAACAAGCTTTTGATCTCTGCACATTTTAACTGGAGCTCCAATTTCGACAAAGACAGTGAACTTTAGCAAGAGAAGCCATATAATCATCAGCCCTGAAATGAATGATTCATGTCAACTTTGTGTTTGATACAGTTTTATGAGTCCAAAAGGTGGAGATACTCAGAATTTAGAACCTTTGTCCATAAGGAGACTGGCATGCAGCAAGGATATGAAACTTGGCAGAATCTTGTTTGCTCTGTGCAGAAAAACATTGGTAAACAGGTGTAAAATTTTAGGCATCAATGGTTCTTGTATACAGCAAGAAGTGAGAAAGAAATAAGATCTCGAGGTTGAGGACCAACCTGAGATTCGTGATAAAGGCCGGCATACAAAGATGCGTAGAAATATTCTGCGTCCTGGCGGCTGGAAAATGCTGCAACAAGCTGTGCAGTAGAAGCAGTTGCAAGAATCGATTTTTGTTCAATAACAGGCAGAAAAGTATTAAATAAGAGTTGAACAAAATGCAACCTATAGTACAAACATGAATTCAGAAAAGTTTTATTCTCAATATCCTGATTGAGGGCAGTTCACTTGGGCACCATAATATCTTATGAACCGTAGATGAATGAAGGCTTCATTGACCTTAGCGCGTTCCATTATCTCAACAAAGAAAAAATATTCTGTGTCAATGTCAAGTCACACCTGTTCGGGATCTCCACCATCTTTAAACATGTTATAAGCTTCCCTCATTACAGGTCTGGGATCTCTGCCAACCTGCACGCAGCTAGCAACCAAAAAGAAAATATTCAGCAACACAAAAGGCGTTTTATTTGGTATTCGAATTCAAACTAAAGTTTGATGATCCATGGTTATTTGTTAAGTCTATTCAAGAAACAGTTAGCTAGACCACATCACAAAGAGTAGCTATTTTGTGAATCAGAAGTTCTGCCATTGACTGAGATGGCCATATATCTATTCTTATGCGCATCCTGAAAGTTTTCAGTACAAATAATTAACTGCTCCCAATTATTCTAAAACTTCAAATTTATAGGAAATTACTCAATTTATTATTTACAATGTAACATTTTCTCTCACTCACAGTCCCACATGCTAGAAACATGGCACAGACCCACCGTATCATGCGCCAGAATCAATCTGACTCATCGTCTATTCATCCAGCCTTCTTATGATAATAAACTACAATCAATTATTTTACATTGATGATGGCTTTTTCCTGTTAAATTCTACAAACTTGCCTCGAGAAACCGGTTTCTTGCTTCATCAACCCCATACAGTTGGGCTTCACAAAGAAAACACCATATTGATTCCTCTGTATCATTTGGGTTCTGTGCAACATCTATTCTAAACTGCTCAGCACCTTCTTCAAATCTACAAACAAGGAGAACCCACTTCAAATTCTTCCACATCTATCTTAGATGCTCATGACAATTATAATTTCACTCCTTTTTTACTGGGAAGAAATGGTTTGAAAAAAAAATAATAAATAAGAAGTAGTCAATAGACAACAAATTAATAAAGTATTTGGCTGAAGTAATAATCACCTAATAAAACCAAACCAAACCAAAGCAATCAAGCAAGTATTAATACCTATCAAGATAGTAGAGTGATAGCCCCCTTTGCCAAAGATCTGTCACAGTCACCATTAAAATCAAAGTTATAACCCAATAAGTCTCACTCCTAATCCTTTTTCTAAGCCACTCAATGATGAAAGTCATAGAGACCTACACGCCTTTTGCCGAGGGTCTATCTCGATAGCCTTATCGAACTCCGACAAAGACCCCAACACATCACCCTTGCAAACAACAAAACATTAATGCGTCTCAGTCATCTGATGAAAACCCAAAACGCAAAAAATTAAACAAACGAAGGAAAGAAATATTACACAGACACGGAAGTAGAAATTAAACAAAATGGCAAAGATCTTTGCCTTCTTCATCTTCTTTTACCTGCCTAAATAACAACATCCCGCGTCGAATTGCTACCACGGCTTCGCGGTCATTGTTGTTGCCGCCCGTTAAAGCGTCCCAGATTGCGGAAACTGAGGGAAGAAACAGTCTTCTTGATAAGATGGGTATTGGGTGCGGAAGATTACTATGGGTTTTTGTGATGAAGGAGAGTGAATGAATCTGAGTTCTCTGCGGTAAAAATGGAGGTGATGGAGACGAAGAAGAGTGAGGGAACAAGGTAGAGGAGAGTGAAATGAGGGGTTTCAGGTTGTGGGTTAAAGCCATTGACGTGAAAGAAGCTTTGATTTGAGGATTTGTTCCGATCAGAGACGAAAAATTTTGAGGAAAATTGAAACTTCTCTGTGTTTCCTTTTGATATATTTTTTTTTAAACCAAAAAATTTTGAGAGCGGTTAATTGAAGGGAAGATAAGGCGCCAAAGCGAAACTGAAATTGGTGATTGGTTATGAGAACGACACGTGTCACGCATCGATGAAATAAATACGACGTCGTTAAAGGTTAATTGATTTTCTATAAATATATTTACCATTTAGCAATATAAAATTATTAATTTTCAAATTAGATAAATTATATTTTTTTTTTCAAATTTATTATTTATCATATGTTATAACCTAATCATATATTTATACATTATGTTATAATTTAGTGATTTATATATTACATGATTAGGGTCTCATTTGTATGTATTACAAAAATAATTATTATTATAGATTAATTTATATTTACCTACTTTGCGTGATTACCGATCTCATTTCAAATTTTATATTATAAAATTATTTCATTCAAATTTAAGTCTCGGTAATTTGTTTAAAATTAACGTGTTGCATGTTATATAACTTATTGGTCATAATTTAAATTTTTTATACAAACATAAGATAAAGTTTGCATATTACCAAGTGTTATAACCTAATCATGTATTAATAATATACTTATTAATTTAATTAAATCTCATTAAATTAATATTTTTAAAAGTACGTATATGTTTCTTTACCAAATTTATTGTGGAGTGGGAATATGAAAGTCCAAAATCGCGTGACCACTTGCGTAAAGCTAGTAAGTTGGAACATTGACTTTTAAAGTATATATTATAAATTATAATTAAAAATTAATATTGATTAATTAATCTTAAACACATAACTTTAAAAAATAATTACATTTATTTTAAATAATATTTGAAATTATTTAATTATTATTACAAAATTAAAATAATTATTATGTGAATTAAAAATAAATAAAATTAACAATAAATAATTACGTTGGGAATATTCTTTTTTTTTTTTTCAAAAAGGAAGGATTATATTCTATAAATTATTGGATAAAAAAATAAATTCAACGAAATAAAATTTGAATGTTTTACCGGCAACCGGAAGCAGAGTTCCTCTTCTGGAATTTTAAAACGCACGAGTTTTATAAATCTAATGAATTCATAATCTGGTTTTGACTTTCAGTTAATATTATACATTATCCATAATAATTGTGTTTTAGTCTTAATTATAATTAACCATAATATAATCATAATTTTTAATGATTATTATTGGGCGTAGATGTTAATTAATATACGATTAAGTCACTTCCAAGAGCATCCTCTCCGTATATTTGTAGTCTAAATGCAACTCGGCAAGAACTCGTTCAAACCACGACGAAGCTTTTAAACAAAGATTTTGTTCTTAAAAAATTCCATCTTCTTATCTTTCTTCTCCGTTATTAATATTATTTTTCAAGATTTAGAATGGAGAAAATGGAAGTGGCCGACTGCAACGTGTTACCAGAAGGTTGTATAGCCACGATTCTCTCCTTCACCACTCCACGAGATGCTTGCAGATCAGCCATGGCGTCCGAAGTCTTCAGGTCGGCCGCGGAGTCCGATATAGTTTGGGAGAGGTTTCTGCCGCCAGATTGTAACGAACTTCTCTCCAGGTTGGTGACTCCTCTCGAGTTCTCTTCCAAGAAGGAGCTTTTTCTCCAGCTCTGCAACTCGGTTCTCATCGACGGTGGCAAAAAGGTAAATTAAAACCAACTCCTCTCTTTTCTTTTTCTCGGGAAACAAACAGAAAATCATGCGAGAAATGAACCATTTGATTCGTATTAATTGATTCTGCGTTTCCTAATCAAAAAAATGATCTGGGTTTTGTTTTTTTTTTTAAACAGAAGAGATCTTGTTTTTATTTACTGTATAACAAAGCTCCAAGTCAGAACATGGTTCGTACTCTGTTTTTTTTTTTTTTCCTTCCTGGGAAACAAACAGAAAAAAGGAAATAACTTTATCCGTACCTGTTGATTCTGAGTTTACAAATCAAGAAAATATTGGGTTTTTGATAAAAAAAATTGACAGGTGACGACGATGACACCACGAAAATTGATTAAGTTTGTTTTTCGATTATGGGTGTGTTCATATTTTTTCTCAACTGCGAAAAACAGAGCTTCAAATTAGAAAAGTCATCTGGGAAGAAATCCTTCACACTGTCTGCTAGAGAGCTTTCAATCACATGGAGCAACAATCCAATGTACTGGAGCTGGGTACCCACAAACGAATCAAGGTTTGTTCAAACGAATAACAAGGCCATGTTTGTATCTCCCAAATTAAACATAAATAATTTATAAATTTTCTTTTAGGTTCACAGAAACAGCAGTGCTCAGAACAACATGGTGGCTGGAGATTCACGGAAAGATAAACACTAAAATTCTATCACCAAACACGACCTACGGAGCTTACCTCATAATGAGAATCACAAAAAGGAAATACGGGCTCGACACGAAACCATCGGAGATCTCAGTCGAAGTGGGCGACCGGAAATCCACCGGCATTGCGTATCTGCTCGGAAAACGCAGCGGTGAAGATGGAGATGAAGATGATAATTCCAACGAAGTGGAAGAATCAAAAGCGATATTTCCAAAGGAAAGAGTAGATGGGTGGATGGAGATTGAGCTTGGCGAGTTCTTCAATGGCGGAGGATTGGACCAGGAGGTGAACATGAGTTTGACGGAAGTCAGAGGGTATCGACTCAAAGCTGGGGTTGTAATTGAAGGCATTGAAGTTAGGCCAAAACATTAATTAATTAATTTTTTTTAAATTATTAATATTTGTTTTTATTTATTTATTATACATAATTTTACAAATAAATATTTATTTTTTGTGTTTAATATATTATTTTATTAATTAAAATATGACTATATTTTTATTATAACCTATGTCTTTAAAATTTATTTTTTTTACTATAATAATTATTTTTTATATTTTTCCTTTAATATAATGAATTTAAATTACATATATTTTATTATTTTACCATTATATTATAAATAAATTAAATTTAATTATAGTAAATCAGAATATATATATATATATATAATATTTTATAACGGTTAAATTTTTTCGATAAAATTCAATAATATTCTTATTGTACGATAGTAAGTAATTTATATATTAATATCGTATCATTACATATTATGTTATTTATTTAAATAATTTATATAATTATAAATATATTATTTTACTTGTTAATAAAAAAAAAGTAGCTTATTAACTACAACTTTTTTAAGAAGATAAAAATATTTGTAGTTTTATTTTTTTAAATTTGCTATATATGTTTATTTATAAGTATATGTATGATGGTTTGCATGGGTGATACTTACAATGTAAAAAATAACATCTAATATATATATATATATATTTAAAAATACAAATAATTTTCACATTTATATTATTGTTTATAAATATTACAAAAATATAAAAGCTAAAAACAAAAATATTATTTAATAAAAAAGCCAAAATGTTTTTAAGCCCATTGCAGCCCATTTTAAAAGCCCACATTCACGTAATTTTCAGTTTTAATTTTTTTTCTGGGTGGAGTTTTTTTAATTTCGAAAATTGAAGAAACGAAACTACTAAAATCCCTAACCCTCTCAGTCTCCAGTCTCAAGACTCCTTCGGCGGTCACCATTAACACTGACCGCCCGCCGGTGCATTTCCCATTTTCTCTCTCCCCCGAGCATCTCTTCTCTTCTCCTCTCGGTCTCGGACTCTCGGCTCTCACTCGTACCATCGCCTCTCTCTGCCTCTTCGGAGTTGCAGCATTGCTCGTTGGCCTGGTACGCGGAAATGATTTCTTAGAGTTGTCTGAACTTATTTCTAAGCATTAGCATCTTGTTGTTATGGTATTGATTTATATTGTTCTTTTAATACGATCTCAGCAGCTTGCTCTTTGATTCTATGTTTCATTGCCGTAAACATGTTGGATTTAGTGAAAGGAAATCTGTTTGTTTTAATTCTTCGTTCTACATTATACTCTTTTGTTGTTGCATCGGATGACGTGGTTGTGTGTGTTCGTGTGATTTCGTGCAATACATTTGTCACCACTAGTATTCATTGTTTGTTTGTCTTCGTTTATATGCGATAATATTCAGGAGATTTCTTGCGAAGGGTTAGATAGATGAATTGCTTCGCCCATTTCTGATGTTTGGCATTTGTTGGTTTCGTCATTCGTGAATGTTGTGAACTTTTGAGATTGAGATTTTAGCCTCAATTAATAAAAATACATAGTGACGTAGAATTGCTTGATTGAACTTGCTCCATTACTTGATTTAATTGTATTACAATACATTTAAGAAAAACAGTAGAAGAAGGTTGGGCAGTAATGAAGGAATTGATCTCGTCTAGTACATTTGTACCCCATATATCCCCGTCAGATTTAGTTCTGAATGGATGAAGATGATTGTATTACCTCACTTAATCTCACTAGCATCTGATTATGAAGATATGTCTAGGTATTCATCTGCTATAACTCTCTAGAAGTTTTAATTTGCAAATGGTAAGTTGATGTTTTGCTTTGTGAATGATTACATGCTCTTCAAGATATGAATCGACTTGTTTGTATAGACATATTATTATCTAACTATTGATTTGAGGATTGAATGACATATTTTGAGAGTTATGACGTGGTTTTTGGTTCAATACCTGTAGGCGTGTGTTGCTGCACTGTGCAAACATAGCTGTTAGAAAGGTACTACAAATATGCAAAGCTTTCATAGAATCATATCTCGACTATCGTCAACTTCTCTCAACCCAAGCACAAAGGTAGTTGGCTTTTTAAAGGAAAAAACTCCACCTCTTTCTGGAGATCTTACGAAAGTTTTGTCAAAGGTTGGTCCCAATGCTTACAGAGTTAGTGGATCACGAGCATTTTCAGCAAAGTCAGGTTCTGGAAAAACTGATGGTCAAGATGATTGGGGTAGTACAGTGGGTGGGTCACTCAGTGGGCCCAACTCCGATGATCTTAACTGGGACCATGCTTCTATGTGGTCAACTGGATTGACCAAGGAGCATTTTGATGGGGAGCCTGTGGTCCATCAGACAAGTGCTACTGATAGCGGACTGGATTCTTCTAAATCTTCTGTCATTTCTGATTTGCAAGTATTTGAAGATAAGATAAAGGAACTGGAGGCAGAAAACCGTAAGAACAAGGCTTTTGTAGAGGGATGGGACCAGAGGTTGCAGGAGATTAGTGTTTTATTGAAACAAGTGCAAGAGCCTGGTGCAAGAGGGTCCTACCTGAAGGACTCAGAGAAGGCAGAGATGTATCGCTTGCACAAGGAGAATCCTGAGGTCTACACAGTTGAGAAGCTTGCCAAGGATTATAGGATTATGAGGCAGCGGGTACATGCCATTCTTTGGCTAAAGGAACTTGAAGAGGAAGAGGAGAAAAAGCTCGGTCATCCCTTAGATGATTCTGTAGAGCTCTTGCTTGACACCTGCCCAGAGTGAGAGTTTAATTCTCATCTAGCTTAGAATTAATCTTACTACTTTGGAATTTAATGAAGTTGTTTCTTAGAAATTTGTTAGAGGTTTTTAATTTCTAGTGTCTTAATAAATTGATTTTCATTTGTGATTGTTCTTACCTTCTTTTTTGTTGAGCAAATTGGGTATCGTGACGAATCACCTGTTTTATCTCATATATTGATATACGGATATATATTTAGCAAAAAAGTGGACAATTGGGTGGTTGTTTTTTAAAAAAATGATGTCCTCGCTCAGAGTCTACATATAATGTTGTGTATAAAAACTAGTTACTGAACTGGAGGTAGTGTAGGTTGTGAATTCTATTATTTCTTTTGTTCTTTCTATTTCTTATATGTTTGTATCTCTATGCCTTTATCTCTCTTTCTTCTCTCTGGATCTCCTAGTCTTGCCTGTGCAGTGATTTGATTCATCTGGTATGACATTTCACTCCTCTGTTTGGGAATGTTATGTTGGCATATGAGTTTTCTATGGGCAAATTGTGCAAGGGAAAGAACATTCTTTTATTTTGCAGCTAATGTGCTGCTACTTTTCCAGGTTTTTCGATTCGCATGACCGCGAATTCCATGTGGCATCTCTTCCATATAAACCCGACTTCAAGGTTATGCCAGAGGGTTGGGATGGTACCATAAGAGATTTAGACGAGGTTCATTACGAGATCTCGAAGAAAGAAGATGATATGCTCTATGAAGAATTTGTCCAGAGGATGAACTTCAACAAAATGAAAGTAAGTAGCTCCCACCTTTCGCATTTATGAGCAAATAAAGTGAAAATTACCTGTCAAAATATAATTTTGTTCTCATTTCTTAATCTTACCTTCTAGTCTGCCTCACAATGTGATGGTTCATGATAAAATGAAGTGGGTTTGAGTTGGGTGGTTGAGATTAGGGTAATATCTTGGTAAATTTGAAGAAGAGGTTGTTGGATTCCGATTAGTCTTATCAATGCTGTGTCCATTTTTGAGGCTGGTGGGTTGTATTTGGTTTTTGTTGGTTGAATTCATTTTGTAAATTTAACATTACACAATTTCTGGTAATCCAAGGAACAAAGTCAATCAGAAGTTCTTGGAGTAAAGAAAAAAAAAGGATAATAAATTAAGTTTTTAACCAATCCTTGTTAGGAATTAATTGGGGATCTTTGAAATGCATCTTATTTGGTCCAAGAGAGGAAATTAAGATAGAAATTTATTTAGGGTGACAAATATTCTTGTTAATTATGATAAAAATGAGTGATTAATTTTTGTTGAGAATATAATGTCATAGAACTGTGAAACGCCGTCAACTCTCTAATTTAGGGGTTGGATAGTTGAGGGTAACTAAGGGTTCGACACTCCTCTTTACCAAAAAGACTAACGAACAGGTTAACATTAAACCATCTTTATTTGATTATCAATTACTCTAAAACTCAATCCTCGAAGCACAATTAGATAAAGTCAAATTTCTAGAGAGTTGTTGATTTGGTGCTCAAGTTGGATTTTTTTTTTTTTGGGGAAATGGATACTTTGGTACATGAAAATGTGTTTTTGTTTTTTGTTTTTCTAAATTTATATGTATTTTTAAAAAAAATAATTATGGAATTAGAAATTTTAAAGTATTATGTTCAGCTAAAGTTTAAAATATAGATTCCATCAATAAATTACATACACAAAATACTTAAAATCTCCAGCAAGTGGAGATGGTTGATGATTGACTGCCCTGTTTTGTAAGTAAAATCTGTTTGTGTTGAATATTGATGCCATTTTTCTGCTTGTGTGCAGATGGCAGGAGAGGTGAAATGCCACAAGTATAGTAGACGCCGGACGTCCGAGGGTTGGAAATTCACGGTGGAGAAATTGGGAAGCAGAGGGAAACGAGGAAATGGCGGTGGATGGAAGTTCGTAAGTTTGCCAGACGGATCAAGCCGACCCCTAAACGAAATGGAAAAAATGTACGTCAGGAGAGAGACACCGCGCAGACGACGCAGGATTCTTCCGTGATAACGAGGTTTAACGTTCGAATTCTAGAATCTTGAAAAGTTTATGTTCACCCGATGACAGATAGATAACCATGAAAAGAAAAAATTCTTTTCCATCAACAGCTGTTGGAATAAATGTGGCGAGAGAGATTGAAGTTTAGTTTTCAGCTGTAAATTATTGAGCTTATCTATCTTCCTCTTCATGCTTTTTGTTTTCTTCGCCGGAGACCGGCGTTGCAGCCGGTTTGCTTTGAGTAAGAATGGGTGTTACTTAATTACTATATTCACTAGCATTATTTACTTCTGTCTTTGGGGTGAAGTATATATATATATATATTTTTTATAAATTACAATTATTACAGGATAA